ATGGGGAAAATCCACACTGTTTTTTGCAGGCAAGGAGGTAATCGATTTTATTCTCTTCTGGAGATAATATAAGGTTGCAAGGAAATTTAACAGCTCTTCTGCTCCATCATCTTTATAACAACTCCTCTCTTTTAACAAGACTGTTAACAACTACCCTCTTTTAACAAGACTGTTAACAAGTCTTTTAACAAGAATGGAGAAAGCCAAGTTCCTGAGGCTCTAGGTACAGGCCACAGAGGAGACACTTAACTCTATCACATAGTACTTCTTTCCTCCATCCCTCATACTTAATTTTAAAATGTTCAGAAAGTATATCCCCAGAAAGTATTTCAATTAAATTTTTATAAGTAGACCATGTAACCTAATCATGAATTGGAAAATTTTATAGTTTTGTAAGTAAATATAGAAAAAATTATTTTCAAGAACAAATGAATAATCATTTTCTAAATATTGTAATCTGTTTTCTCCTTTTGTTTGACCTTAGTGCTGGTAAACTATCCAAAAAATAAAAGGATGATGAATTTGTGTTTCTTGCCAATGTTCTAAATAATGAAATAAGGAAAATAAGATAATTGAAATTTTTGCATCAATATTTTTTTCTGAATTTTAATAACTAAAACCACTGAGGTCTTTTCTTCTAATACATTTTTTATTTTTGACACATCTGTTTTGTTCTGCTTTTTTCTCACCCCATCCCCAATTTTAGAAACATTTTATAGATTTTAAATTCAACTTTTAATACCAGCTACTTTGAGAACTTAAAACTTCTTGTCACAACATTTAAATAAAATAGAAATCAAAGAAAAGTACTTTCTGAAAATATGCTATTTGAGGTACACTCCAAGAAAAATTTCTGTTTAAAATTGCAAACATCGTTGAACCTATCTCTTTTATGTTTGAATTGACCATTTTCAAACTTTGTGCCAGCTGAAGTCTCTTATGGAAGTTGTTAATCTACAGTGACATTAGAAATGTGTTTTCTCCTGAAATTCTGGAACATTAGACATAGCAACAAAGTTGTTTTTCAGTCTTCCAAAAACTCCTCATAAGACTAGAAAGCAATTTGATTGTTTTAAAAAATTAACAACTCACTGACAATATCTACAGCAAAACCAGGTGACAGGGTATCTCCATGAAGCCTACCATATGAGTCAGTGAGGACCAACTGATGACAACAGGAAGAGCCATGTGGAATTTTCACCTCTACACAAGGAAGCAAGGGAAGCAAAAAGACAAATGAGAGACCCCGAGTATGCAAACACTCAAGTCTCCCAAATTTTCTAGTTATTTAAAAGAAGGATAGGTCAATACAAAAAGAGAAACTGAAATTGGGAGAGATTTTTGCCACCCAAATTTCTGAAAAGTACAAGGGGTGCACCTGCAGTAAGGTCTGAAAAGTGAATACAATGTCAAGGCCTTGTGTACTCTGGAAATGAAAATCTAAAGCCCCTTGGGGAAAAAGGTTCTACATGTAGGTAAAACTGCTGGGAAGATAATCCAAATTGATCAGTATAGAGACGGTAAAGGTCAGTGAATGAAGTCCCAGGGGAGGGGAAGAAATCTCAGGAAGTATGAGGGCATATTTTTGAATGCTTCGTGTACATAACCAGAAAGTTAAGAGCCATGAAACTGGAAAAGATATCCTGACCTATTACTCTGTCAAAAGGTTAAGTAAACCCATTTGGCTTAAAAATGGACAGCAACAGAAAAGGATGTCCATTAATTCCAATAGAGAATGATCATGGGACATGGATGGAGCTAGAGGTCAATAGGGGAGAGACAATAAGGAGCAGAATAAAGTTTCTTTAGGCAGTTAAAGCATCTCAGGAAGAAACTCCCACAAAAAACACGCAAATAAGACAATGTTAAAAAATAAGCTAAAAATAAGAGAACTGTAGAACAACAATATAAATCAAAGGTAGAAAAATCCTTACATATGTATAATTGCACACCTCAAAGAAGAAAACCATGGAAGAAAATGAATAGAGAACATTCTACTTCAAGAAAATATTCCTGAAATTTAAAAAGAATGATAAAAACACTCTAAATTGAAAGATTATGCCACAAATCTGAATAACTCAACCTAGAACAGCCACATTTCTCATAAAACATGTCTTAAAGTCTTTAAATTAAAACAAAAATTCTTTGCCCACATTCATGCAAAAAGAGCAAGTCAATTATTTAGAGAAAATCAGACTGCTGTCAGATTTTCTGAAAATCACATCTTGTATCATAAGAAAATTGTCACCTACTTAAGATAATGAGGCTTCCTTTCCTCACTCCTATTACTTTGAAATAATATTCTTTTGCTTCTTGCTAATTATATAGCAATCAAGAAGTTTATCTTTTTTCAAGCTATTTTTTGATGGCTGTATATTGTATCTGTATTGTAAGTTCATACTAGCTGGATTGATAGTATGTTAGTTCATTCTCACATGCTGTAAAGAACTACCTGAGACTGGGTGATTTATAAAGAAAAGATGTTTAGTTGACTCTCAGTTCTGCATGGCTGGAAAGGTCTCAGAAAACTTATCATCATGGCAGAAGGTGAAAGGGAGGCAAGCCACATCTTCCCATGGCAGAGCAGGAGAGAGCACAAAAAGGGAAGTTCCACATGCTTTTGAACCATGAGATCTCATGAGAACTCACTCACAGTCATGAAAATGGCAAGGGAGAAATTCATCCCCATGATCCAATGACTTCCCACCAGGCCCCTCCTCCAATTTGACATGAGATTTGGGTGGGGACACAAATCCAAAAAACCCAAATCATATCCGCTAGTTAATGTCAATATTGCTAAGAGTACAGAACAAACCAAAAAAGAGGAAACTAATGTTCAAGACATTAGAACAAAAATACAAACACTCCTAAATGTAAAAGAAAATTAAAATTAAAGAGGAAAATAAAATGGACTACATAGTAAAACATATATAATACATTTAATACATATTAATATGATGTTATTGTTTGTCTAAGAAATGAGGAAATATGAACATATGTACATATATATATCTTTTAATTTTTTAATTGAAGGATAAAATGTAAAATTAGAAAAATACTATCTGCCACTAAGAAGAAATTGTACTTCTAGGAGACAATGACTTATTCCAGGTCTAAGGCAACAAATGTACAAAATAAGCCTAAAGTATGTTATTATACTGGTTAGAAAAAGAACCACCAAAGACTTCAAAAGCCAACTTGCATAGCCTACTACTGACCCAGGAACGGCTAGAGCAGATTGAAACATATCAAACATGGTTAAATTCATACTTTCAAAATGATACCAATAAATGAACAAAAACACTAATAGGTCATTGAAAATGTTGGTGAATGAACTCATTATTTTGAAAAGTGGTAAGTTACAAAACTAATAATTTATCCCTTCTTTCCTAAAAGAATTGTATTATTAGAAAATTTTTAGCTAACAAGAAGCAATGAGAGATTTTACCAACTTGAAACTGCTAACATGACTTGATGGATCTAGGCATTGATCATTACCATTAACAACATGAAATGGAGCATAATTGAACATGTGTCTTCTGTGAAAATACACAATATTGCCTATAAAGTGTATTTGCTAAAAATTCAACCTTCATCTAATCAAGATCCTAACACTATCCATTAATAAAAAATAGAGAGGGCAGAGAAATAGCTCCAACGATATCAAGGCTGTAGAATGAAATGTAATCCTCTAGAATCAAATGTGATTCTATCCCCTTGATGTCTTTGGAGCTATTTCTCTGCCCTATTTTTTTTTTTTTTTTATTAATAGATAGTGCTGGGGTCTTGATTAGATTCAGATCGAATAAAGAAAATGTACATATACACCATGGAATACTATCCAGCCATATAAAAGGAATGAGATCATGTTCTTTACAGGACATGGATGGAACTGGAGGCCATTTTTCTTACCAAACTAATGCAGGAACAGAAAACCAAATACCGCATGTTCTCACTTATAAGTGTGAGCTAAGTAATGAGCATACATGGATACACAGAGAGGAACAACACACACTGAAGCCAATAGGAGGGTGGAGAGTGGGAAGAAGGAGAGAGAAGATCAGGAAAAATAATTTACGGGTACTAGGCTTAATACCTGAGTGATGAAATAATCTGTAAAACAAAGCACAGTGACACAAGTTGACCTATGTAACAAACTTGCTCATGTACCGCCAAACTTAAATGGTTTTACAAAAAAAGAATCACATTGTCAAACAGGGAAACTCTCAAGAACAAGTGACCAGCTTTCAGAAAAGAAACATTGCAAAAATGAAACAGCGATGGAGAAGGGAAGGATGAAGGAAGAGAAAGAGGGTTGAGGGAGAAGAGAGAGATAGAAAAAAAAACTACAAGTTAAAAGAGAATAAGAGATACCCCAACCAGTCAAGTTTCATGTACCTTATTTGGATACTGAGTCAAACAAACAAAATTTAACATGTCTCAGACAATTGGAAATTTGAAACACTGCGTATTTGATAATATTAAGGAATTATTATAGGTATGATATTGGTATTATGACTATGATTTTTAGAAGGTCCCTTATCTTTTAGAAATACCTCCTTAAATATTTAGAAATGAAATTATATAATGTCAGATGCTTGCTTTCACATAATGAAGAAGGAGAAGAAGTAATTAAGCAGATAAAACTGTTCGTGAATTTTTAGTTAAAGCTACCTGACAATTACATGGGGGTGTTTCATTGTATAATATTTACTGGGGTATGTTTAGAATGATTTGCAATACAAAGTTTAAAGCAGACAAAGTGTTTTATCCTCAAATGTGATGGATAGTTCAAGCCAAGGAAAAATAAAATCATTTCATTTTCCGAGGTAAACTCAAAATATTTTTAGAGTGTCACGTTGTAGAAATCTTTCCCATGATAGTAGCGTAGCTTGTTTCAATTGTTTACATAGACCATCTGTAACATTAATTTACTTCTTTTAATATCCACTCTTCTGAATGAATGTGCTTGAGAAGCATTTCCTTTCTTTTTTTTCCAGGATTGTGGAAAAGGGATATTACAGTGAGCGAGATGCTGCAGATGCTGTTAAACAAATCCTGGAGGCAGTCGCTGTAAGTACAAAGTAACAGCAATGGTATAACTCTTAGTCACTATTTCTTCCTTTTACAGAATCATTATTTCAGAAATGCATATGTGTGATAAGCCACACATTTTACAGCACAAAGGTGTGAAATATTTATTAGAAAATATGTGGAGTAAGCCGCGCACGGTGGCTTGACCCTGTAATCTCAGCACTTTGGGAGGCTGAGGCAGGCAGATTACTTGAAGTCAGGAGTTCAAGACCAGCCTTGCCAATGTGCTGAAATGCCGTCTCTAATGAAAATTTAGAAATTGGCTGGCAGTGGTAGCACACACCTGTAATTCCAGCTACTTCGGAGGCTGAGGCACAAGAATTGCTTGAACTTAGGAGATGGAGGTTGCGGTGAGCTAAGATCATGCCACTACACTCCAGCCTTGGCAACAGAGAGAGACTGCCTCTCAAAAAAAATGTATGGAATAAACTGATATTTTCTATTGATTAATCAAAGTCTGAAAGATGCAGTCCTGTATATAATGCCACAAGTGTGTTAAATTAATTTCTATTCTGTTATTATGAGACAAAATGAGATTTTGGTGCCTTTAGTTGTTCTTTAACTCTTTCTTTCTCAATTCTTGAGTTTGTTTCTTCATTGCTTTTGTTGTGTTTTAATTTGGTAGAGATGTGGAGGAAGGTTGAATGTGATATAGACCTTGGAGCATAGAGATTATTAAATTTTCTTTCAAGACAAGAAATGAGTGAATTAGAAATAAAAAATGTAGCAGCTTTTTTCAAGAAATAAATATAAGTTAATATTTTAATTTGGAATACAAGTTTTGTAAGTTAATGGTGGAATTAAATGCATACACGTTTACAAAAATATATACTGTTGAGAAGCTCTTTTGGATTGTACTAAGCAGGTAATATTTGCTTGTATAAAACAGACTCGATTGGCTAAAAGCTTCCCATATATTTAATGGTGTCTAATATGTGCTGGAACACTTTGGTGATTCATTTATTGAATATAAAACCAGAACAAATTATTTGTTGAACAATTAAGACAGGGCCCAAGGAGTGGTGATATTTATCAGGATCCGTTAAAGAGACAAATCTATAAAATTTATCCAGAATTGAGGTATACTCCATTATTTGGAGTTAGTTATTTAACTAAAATCATTATTTAATACCTTGAGAAATCAGCCACAGTGACAGAAGCACAGGTCCTATGAGTTTTACCCACAGCAAAAGCAGGAAGCAGGGAAGTAAAGAGAAAAGGAGGGAGAGAGGAGGAAAGAAAGGAGGGAGGAAGGGAGGACTCTGATATCTAACTAGCTTATGTACCAGTGATGAAAAGGTTTTCCTTTTCATCATTGAAAACCTTTGTATAAGACTTCTAGAAATAGCCAATCAAACCAAATCTGTTATTAAGCTACCAACACCAACTTTAATTGGCTTTATAGCCCAGTTCTTCCAAATTATTTCTTCCCATAAAAGTGTTTTGATCTTTTTGCTACAGTGAGGGATGAAAAGTTTGAAATGGTATTGAATAAAACCTGGAGAGGATGCCAAAACAGCTCCTGATTATATGAATATTGAATATCAAATTCATCTTCTCACTGTACCCAAATAGCCACCCCATTTCAGATTTTTATCACACACGACACATTTACTAATTCTGGTTGCCTAGGTTTGCACACTAGGGAATGGGTTTCAAGTCTTCCATTTCCTTCTCTTACATAGACCTTTCCAATTTCAGTTGAAGCTTTCTTCAAATGTGCGTAAACTTAATCCTGTTCTCAATCATTCTATGACTATTGCTGGCATGCTTTAAAAAAAAAAGCACTTATTATTGCTTATAATTCCTATTCTTTTTTTTTTTTAACAGAGTCTTGCTCTGTCACCCAGCTGGAGCGCAGTCGCTTGATCTCAGCTCACTGCAACCTCCACCTCCGGGGTTGAAGCAATTCTCCTTGCCTCAGCCTCCCAAGTAGCTGGGACTACAGGCATGCACTACCATGCCCAGCTAATTTTTGTATAAAGTAGAGGTGGGGTTTCACCATGTCAGCCAGGCAGGTCTCAAATTCCAGACCTCTGGAAATCTGCCCGCCTCAAGCTCCCAAGGTGTTGGGATAACAGGTGTGAGCCATCGCACCCAGTCACAATTCCTGTTCTTAAATATATAAGTCTAGAATCATCTCTTGCAATCACTTTTTATTTTGTTACTTCTCCATTTAATAATGGCAGTTTTTATAGTAGAATGATTTATAATCCTTTGGGTATATACACAGTAATGGAATTGCTGGGTCAAATGGTATTTCTGGTTCTAGATCCTTGAGGAATTGCCACAACTGTCTTCCACAATTGTTGAACCAATTTACACTCCCACCAACAGTGTAAAAGCATTCCTATTTCTCCATATCCTCTCCAGCATCTGTTGTTTCCTGACTTTTTAATGATTGGCATTCTAACTGGCATGAGATGGTATCTCATTGTGGTTTTGATTTGCATTTCTCTAATGACCAGTGATGATGAGCTTTTTTTCATATGTTGTTTGGCCATATAAATGTTTTCTTTTGAGAAGTGTCTGTTCATATCCTTAACCCACTTTTTGACTTTTTTTCTTGTAAATTTAAGTTTTTTTCTTGTAAATTTGTAGATCCTGGATATTAGCCCTTTGTCAGATGGATAGATTGTAAAATTTTCTCCCCTATCCTGTACTATAAAGACACATGCACATGTATCTTTATTGCAGCACTGTTAACAATAGCAGACTTGAGGCTAACTTAAATGCCCATCAGTGATGGACTGGATAAATAAAATGTGGCACATATATACTATGGGATGCAGCTCTGAAAAAGGATGAGTTCATGTCCTTTTCAGGGACATGGATGAAGCTAGAAACCATCATTCTCAGCAAACTAACACAGGAACAGAAAACCAAACACCACATGTTCTCACTTGTAAGTGAGAGTTGAACAATGAGAACACATGGTCACAGGGAGGGGAACATCACACACAGGGACTTGTCAGGGTCTGGGAGGATAGGGGAGTGGTAGCATTAGGAGAAATACCTAATGTAGATGACAGGTTGATGGGTGCAGCAAACCACCATGGCACATGTATACCTATGTAAAAAACCTGCACATTGTGCATGTGTATCCCAGAACTTAAAGTATAATAAATAAATTAATAAAATAATAATAATAATAATAGTGGCAGGTTTATACTTTTCTTAAATATCTATTTTAAAACCTCATTTCTTGTTATTATACATAATAAATTATTCAAGTCAAGTTACTGGCCATAGCCCACTATCACTTTACCTGAATCAGTCAGGCAGCTGGTATAGTAGTTAAGAATACTTTGGCAATGAGACAGAGCTAGGTTCGGTTTTTAGCTGTGTGAACTTGGACATATCGCTAAATATCTTTGAGCCTCAGTTTTCTCTTGTAAAATAGGCATGGCAGTTAACCTGACGGGATGATGGAAAAGAGTAAATGAGTTAACTTATGGAAATCATAGCAATGTTCATGAAAGAGCTAAAAGAGGATAAGCCACTTCATACTCAGTACATTTGTTTAAAGATTTATTAGATGTTGTAGATGTATGCAGATATACCTGCACCCCAGCTAAGTGCTAAAAAAAAAATTGTGTAATATACTCATTGATCTACATGCTGATTGCACAGGAGAAAAGTTCAGTAACCTTACATGTACTTTTCTATTTGTATGTTATACCAATAGAAAGTTTGAAAAGGAATTGTGCTGAAATTTTAGCATGTGTATATAGTTACAACAGGTAATAAATCCTCAAGTCAGTGTGGTATGTGTGTGTTTGCAATTTACCCAACTGGATTCATGTACTTTTTCATGTTTCTAGTTCTATCACATACTTTTGTCTAACAGACAGATTTCTTTTTTCCTTTCTGGGAGAGTAGCACGTTATTCTCTGATGTCACATGAGACAGTGGGTAGAGAATGTGACAATGAGGGAGAGGGACATGTGCCCCCCAGTCTACCACTCTCCTCTTTTTATGCTATTCTACTGACAAAACATTTGAAAATGAAGTAATCTTCAAAATAATTTTTCTGAGTGATCTTCGGTTGCTTCTCTCTATACAAGTGACAGAATGTATACAATCAGGAAGGGTGTACTATAAGGCTGCAGAGGTGTGTGAAGCCAGCCAGCACCCTGGACAGTGGTCAGAACTCTTTTCTTCCCCACTGCTGCTTTTTTTCTCATCACCTGCTTCTCTCTATTCCCTTCCAACCAATATTCTCTACTGCTTAGATTCACAATGTGACATATGGTCAACCTAACCATCCTGCTTTAGCATATTAAAGTAAAAACTCAAATCCGACTCAAAATGAACACGAATATCACTTCATCTTAATTCAGAATTTTAGAACAGAAGCTACACGTGGCTCAACTTGAGTCAGGCTTCCTTCCCTAGTCCAGTCAGCTGTGGATGGGGTGTGAATTGTGCAGTATAAATGTGGCTGGTCAGGACTGGAGATAAGGGAGGTTGTCCTAAAGGAAAGGCAGTTGTTTCCTTTGAACTAGGCTGCCACACCAAAATGCATACCTTTTTCTACTATCTGTTCTTGTGCTTTTTTTTTTTTTTTTTTGCTTTTACTATTGCTTCATGTGTCTCTTCATTCCTGAATTTTCATTGCATCCTAGATGCAGTTTTGAATGACAGTCTGTTGTTTGTCGCTAAACCATAATTTCACTTGGAATGTGATTTCATTTTGGCGGAAGCCCTACTTGTTTATCATGTAGGCATTAACTTTTCTATGACCAAATTTAGTCACTCCTCACATTCCCACATTTCCGTCTTTGTAATTCAAGCTGTCTGTTTTCAGTAGGTGTATATTCCTGATTCTCTCATTCACTGATAACAGGAAAAAAACTTTTATAAGGCTCCCTCCATCTTCTTCATCTTGATAAATGGCACTACCATTCAGCCATTGCTTGCTAAAACCTAGAATTTACCTCACATCAAAATAATCCCAAATAATAATCAAAGCTGCA